ACATGGCCGCCTCCAGCGCAAGGAGGCGCTGGGAAAATCAGCTACGTGAGCTGGTTCTCAAACCCCCCTTTGCTATCCCCCCCTTTCGCCCAGCCCGAGAGGAGTCCGCAAGATTCGGCCTCTGTTACTGAGCGCAATGATGAAGCGCTCGCGGGGTTCGCTTACTGCGTGAACGCCAGTCACTTCTCTGGGAGCACCTGGTCCCGACGGCGGCAAGCACCCGGTCGCGCGGCATGAGATTCTGTTGTGTGGAACACTAGATAGTCTATGGCGTATTGTGATGCAGAGGTGTTGTTTACTGTTTCGCGTGCGTGCGCAATTCAAAAGACCATCGTGAATGGCCAACTTAGCAAGGACAGCATGATGGTGACAACAATTGTTTCACTCGTGTTGTGAGGACCCCTTCGTGACATGATTTATTTTGACACAGTTCATGCTTCTTCTGGCGCGCTCTCTCTTACGCGCGCAATCTGAGAACCACATTGGAGCTACCGTTTTAGATTTGTCATTGAATGTCGCGAGCCAACAGTGTTGTTCGTACTCTGCACCCCCAGTATGGAATGATTCAGCGTGGCGCAACGCGACCTGTACATTTGTTCGCGCACAATGCACCAAGAACAATTGATAATGGCCAGCCTTACATTCGAAAACTGATAGGTGAATACCAAGTCTTATATTTGTCTTTCGGGCGCCTCATCATGAAATCGTGCGTCGTGTCACAGCGCGCCCCCGTAATTTCTCACGCGCGCGTGAGCGATGTAAACCTCAATGGGAATGGCCATCTTCATTTCGAAAACTAAATGGTGAAAACCAAGTGTGTCACATGTGCCCCGAGGGCAACAACGTGAACAATGCTCTGTGACACCATGTGCTTTCCTTCTTGTTCGCTCGCGCACGCGTGCCCCGCGAGCGGGCCATGCAAAATTCAATAGGGAATGGCACACTTAGCTTTGGAAACTACATGGTGACAGCTAATTGCTTCAGTCGTATTCGGAGGCCTCCAACGTGAAATAATACATTGTGGCCCCATGCTCTTTCCTTATTGCTGGCTCGCGCGAGAACAAGCAATTCTACAGACTGGTCATCTTAATTTCGGAGACTGAATGACGATCACCACGTGTGCCACTCCTGTTTTGAGGGTTCTGGCGTGCGACGCCATGCGCGCCCTCTAGTTCTCGCGCGCGCCCCCGCGTGCGCAATGAGCTGAACAAATGAAGAATGGCCACCTGGTGCTCGAAAGCTGCACGGTGAAATCCATTCGTTTCACTCGTATTCTGAGGGCCCGACCGCGGAATAATTCATTGCGACGAGTGCGTGTTCTTCATTGCCCGCGCGCTTTCGTGTGCGAAAAATACATCAAGCAATGACCGTCTGGTTTTCAAAACCGAATGGTGAACACCAGCGTTTCATTCATGTTCTGAGGGCCTCAGCGCGGAACGATGCACTGTGGCGCAATGTTGCCTTTGCTTGTCCGTGAGCGCGTTCCCGCGCGCGCCGTGCAAAAACCAATAAACACATGACCACCTTAACTTCTAGATTTGGCCAGTGACAAAAAATGTTTCATTCGGGCGATGAGGGTCTCGGCGTGTCATCAAGCATTGCGGCGCGACGCTGTTCCGCATTGCTCGCACGCGCATGCTCGCGCGCGTGCAATGATGGGAACGCATTGCGCCGCCATGCGTGATTCCACTCCGGGGGGGGGCCATAATAAGCGTGGAACGGCTTCCTGTCGCGACTCAGTTTCCGAAGCCCGCTTGGCAATTCTTGAGTAGTTCTTGCGTCGCGCGCTCGGGGGCTCGCGCGCGCGCAATGGGCAACACCATTGGGCCACAGTGCATTATTCTACGTTGGTGCCCTCGGAACACACATGAAGCAATGTGTGTTTACCATTCAGTGTTCGAGGCTCAGATCACCATTCCGCGTTTAAGGTTGCGGGATGCACGCGGGAGCGTGCGCGCGCGTGCACACGCGCGCAGGCAATGAGGAATACGCATTGCGCTGCAATGCGTTATTCCACGACGGTCCCCATCCAGAAGACGAGTGGACCGATTGCGCTATCTTTTGGTGGCTCAGATGGGCAATTCTGCATTTCCTTACATTACTCACGCGGGAACGCGCGCGGAAGCTCGCGAGAGCAACGAGGAAAGCTCATGATTCCATAACGCAGCGTTTCATGTCGCGGCCCTCAGACAATGGGTGAACCATTTCGTTCAACCCAGCCAGTTTCCGAAAGAAAGGCGGCCAGTGTTTTTTCGCGTTTGTAGTGCGCGCGGGAACGCGCGCAAGCACGCGGGCAGTTAGGAATACGCATGGTGCCACAACGCATTTGTTTCACGTTGGGTGGCCTTTGAATACGGGTGTAACAGTTGGCTGTCATTACTCAGCGCTCGAAGTTAATATTGCAATGCTTCATGTTTCACCGCGCGCGCGAGCAATGCGGACAGCGCATTGTGAACAGTACAGTTGCACGTTGGGGGCCTGAGAGTACGAGTGAATCGCCTGGCTTTCATCATTTAGGGCTCGGGCTTCAGATGGCCATGTTTCATGTCTTCTTGCGCTGCGCATGAGATATCGCGCGCGCGCGAGCGTGCGCGCGCCAGAGTAATTAGGAAAGCGCACGGTGTCACAATGCGTCATGCCACGATGAGGCAGTTAAAAGAATGACAAGGACCCGCCTCCATCCGTGTAGCTGTTGCAAACATTTAAAACGAATGTGCGCGGCGCTACGGCGATACCTACATGGTAAACAGGACCCGCCCTCCATCCGTGAAGCCGTCGCGAAATCTCAAAACGAACGCGTGCGGAGCTAATGCGAGGCCCCTATTTGGAAACAGACTTCGCCCTCAATCAGTGAATCTCTTGCAAATTGACCAGGCAAACGTGTGTGGTGCCAGTGTGAAAGCCACATTCTGAAACACACCCCGTCCGCCATCCGTAAAGCACCTGCAAACTTTTACGACGAATGCGCGTGGCGTTGGTGCGGGAACCGCATTGTGAAAGAGGCCCGCCTTCCATCCGTTCAACTCTTTCAAGCTTTTAAGACGAATGCACGCGGCGCTGAGGCGAGAGCCACATTTTGGCAAACATCCCGCCCTCCATCCGTGAAATTCTTGCCACGTTTTAAATGCGCGCCGCTCTAAGGCGAGGGCCACATTCCGAAAAGAACCCGCCCTCCATCCGTGCCTCGCCGCTAAGACGATAACAACATGGTGTGAAAGAGACGCCTTGCACCCATGACAGGTTTCAAATTTCGAAGACAGACGTGCGCGGCGCTAATGCGAGAGGCACGTCATACGATCAATATATATATGGCATATATATATGTCATATATATATATACAGATATACACAGATAGTTAGATATGAAGTTTTCACATATGATATATACACATATGTATACATATATGATATACACACATATATATACATAGCCACTTCTTCATTTTTATTATAAAATGAACGAGCCTGCGCCGCGCTATGGCGATAACCGCATTCTGAAACATTAGCCTGGCGAAGGACCCAACCATATGCAGCTGCGAGTGCCGCATTGTGGGTACCGCTTTCGGTGGAGCTCCCTGCGGGGCCACGAACCGCGTGAAGGGTGTGCCAGAATGGGTGGCGGTCCCCGCGCGCGGCCTGCGCCATTGGGGCCTTCGGTGGAGCTCCTTGTGGGGCCACGATGGGGCCACGAACCGTGTTTGGGGTCTGCCGGAATGGGTGCGGTGGGCGCATGCGAACGCAGCCATTGGGGCCTTCGGTGGAGCATTCTGCGGGGCCACGAACCGTGTGAGGGGCGTGCCAAATGGGTGGCGGTCCCCGCATGCAACCTGTGCCGCTGGGGCCTTCGGTGGAGCTCCCTGTGGGGCCACGAACCGGGTGAGGGGTGTGCCAGAAAGGGTGGCGGTCCCCGCGCGCGGCCTGCGCCATTGGGGCCTTCGGTGGAGCTCCCTATGGGGCCACGAACCGTGTGAGGGGTGTGCCAAAATGGGTGCGGTCCCAGCATGCGGCCTGTGCAACTGTGGCCTTCGGTGGAGCTCTCTGCGAGGCCACGAACCGTGTTTGGGGTCTGCCGGAATGGGTGCGGTGGGCGCATGCGAACGCAGCCATTGGGGCCTTCGGTGGAGCTCCCTGGGGGGCCACGAACCGTGTGAGGGGTGTGCCAAAATGGGGGCGGTCCCCGCATGTGGCCTGTGCCACTGGGGCCTTCTGCGGAGCTCCTTGCGGGGCCACGAACCGTGTGAGGGGTGTGCCAAAATGGGTGCGGTCCCCGCATGTGGCCTGTGCCACTGGGGCCTTCGGTGGAGCTCCCGGTGGGGCCACGAATCCTGTGAGGTGTGTGCCACAATGGGTGGGATGATGCTGATGGTGACGATGAGGAGGAGGAGGAGGAGGAGGAGGAAGGGGAGGACAGCGAGAGGAGGAGGAGGAGGAGGAGGAGGAGGAGGAGGAGGAGGAGGAGGAGGTGACGCGGGGCGCCGTCTCTTCAAAATGAGGACCCAACACTACATGACGGTTGGGAAACAGACCCGCACGTTGTCCGTGAAGCTGCTTCACACGTGTAAGACGAATGGTCGGTGCGCTGAGGCGAGATCCACATTTTGAAATCCAGGGGCGGGGGGTATCACTTCCAGGGGCAGAAGTGATAAATTTTCGCCAGGCACGGCGGTTCGATAAGTGCTCCTTACGGCTAACGAGAAAAAGGAGCCAGAGGGGTGGAACAGGAGGAGGAAGAGAAGGAGGATGAGGTTGCGAGGTATGTGAAAACAGGGTGAGGAGGAGGAGGAGGAGGAGGAGGATCACAAGAATGAGGGGGTGGAGGAGGATGAGGAGGAGGAGGAGAAGGAGGAAAGGGGGACGGCAAGGATGAGGCGGAGGAGGAGGAGGAGAAGGAGGAGGAGGACGGATTGTTCCACCTGCTCCGCACGCCCGCTGCGGGTCTCGGACTCTCCGCCTCGCCTTCCTTTTTCCGACCTTTGGCCTTGGGCTTCCCTCCGGCGCAGGGGTGCCCGCGGGTTGCGACCTGAGCGCCGCCAAGAGGGAACTGCTGCGGTTCACCAACCTCGTTCCCTGACCTGCCAGAGCCGCCCGTCTCCGACGGCCGCGGAGCTTGCGAGGGGCGACCTCCTCCTCCTCCTCCTCCTCCTCCTCCTTCTCTCCTCCTCCTCTTCCTCCTCCTCCTCTTCCTCCTCCTCCTCCTCCTCCCGCATCCTCCCCTCCATGTCTCCTCCTGTTTCTTCTCCTTTCCCCCATTTGCTGCTCCTCGTCCTCCTCCTCCTCTCGCCTCCTCCTCCTCGCCCTCCTCCTCGCCCTCCTCCTCCTCCTCCTCCTCCTCCTCCTCCCCTCCTCCCCCTCCGCTTCCTCCTCCTCCACCTCCTCTTCCTTCTCCTCCCTCCTCTTCCCCCTCCTCAACCACCTCTTCTTCTCCTCCTCTTTTTCTCCTCTTGATGACGCTGTGCCTCCCCCTCCTCCACGTCCTCCGCCTCCTCCTTCTCCTCCTCCGCCTCCTCCTTCTCCTCCTCCTCCTCCTCCTCCTTCTCTTCCGTCCCTTCCCCTTCCCCTCAGATGCTTCACCCCTTCTCCCCCATCTTCCGCCTTCTGCCCCCGCCCCCCCCCATCCCCCTCCCTCCTCGCCCTCTTCTTCCTGGCCCGAGCCCGCCTCGTCATTCTTTATCATCATCCCCCTTCCGTCCTCCTCACCCTCGTCGTCCGGCCTGCTTGTAGTCTTCCTCCTCTACCTAACTATGCCTCCCGTTGGCTGAGACCTCTTCTCCGAGTCTGGCAAGGCTCTTGTGCCTGGCAATCCTTTCTTGCCTCTGCTTAGGGATCTGGGCACCCTCACGCATCCTCATTTTCGCACGTCCACAGACGCATGGTGTGTCGCTGATGTTGAGAACCTATGGCGCTGGCAGCTTTGTGAAGAAGGACAAGGTCCTCAAACAGCAGAAACACCCTCGCTTTCGTGCTCCTCGTGCTGCTGCCCGCTCTGACGCGCCCACCCAGGAGGAACCCCCTGTTGGTATGGAGGGGGACACCGACTGGGAGGACACAGTCATTGATTACCACATCGGCGCCATGTGCTCACGCGTGGGCTCGGAACAACTGGGCGCCATCAAGCAGCAGATGGACGCCACCATCGCCGCCAGTATCAAGGATTCGGTCGTTGCCGAGTCGAAGACCATCTCCGAATCGCCTAAGGAGAATTTCGACAATTGTTTCAAAAAGGGCCAGCATGACATGGACCCCCCCAGAGGAAACTCGACAAATAGATCCAGGACGCGCTCAAAACCAGGATCAATTCCTTTCGACGTGAGTTCATGGCCACACACGCTCCGGTCGCACGTGTTGGCCAGAAAGGAGACCAGCACTCCTATGAGCTTCACGTTTCGCGCAGAGCGGTGCAACAGCTCCAGAAGATCGTGCAAATGTCTGGCTAGAAACTTCACACACCTATCATCTTCAACTCGGCCTTCGAGCGCGCGGTCGACTGCGGTCGACTACTCGGTCATCAAGGTCAACGCGAGCAGGTTGGCAGCCAAGACGAAGTTCGATGAGACGCTCTGGATGCTCGTGACCCTCTACCGCGCTTGTTCGTAGTGCGCGTTGCTGGAGGTGACGCATTGGCTGCTTGTGGTGGTGCCAAGGCGGTGGGCACGTTCCGCGTGGACGGTAGCTACGTGGCGCCAGTTCGAGGTGGAGACTAGAAGCGGAGACGGCGCCGCCAAGTTGCGCTTGAGCGGGGGCACGAATTCTCGCACCATCAAGCTCGTTTTCACAGGCCTCAAGATCTATTCCATCTTGTTCGGATGCACCTCCTGGGAGGTCAAATTCTGATTCTGCCTTGGTCCGAAATCCTGCTTAATCCGGCTTATTTCCAATTAATCTCGCTGAATCCCGCTTAATCCGCGGCCTACTCAGGTGTAGTAGCCCCTCAATAGGGCTTAATCCTCCTTATCCTTTCCGACAGAGATCTCCCAGTAGTTGCCTCCGAACTCTTGTCGAACCAGCTGGGCTCTAACCGCCGCGTTGACTCGACCGCGAGCGGGGCCGGCCGTCGGTCGGCCGGGGCCCGCTGCTCGAAGGTCGAGGTGCGCCAAGGCTGGGCGCCCTGCGGAGGTCAAGCGGTGCAGTGAGGCGCTGGCCAGCCTCGGCGTCAGCAAGGATCAGGAGGGAAAAAAACACAGACACAATTAATCGTCGATCCCCCAGAAAATATGGGAAAATATGGGAAGTGGTGGGGAAGGCAAAAACCCAGAAAATATACGAAAGTATGGGGAATCTTTTTATTTGTGTGTATTTATTTGTGTGTCCTGGGGCCCCTTCAAAGGAGGATCTCGCCACTGCGATCTCTTCGGATGCAACTCCTGAGAGGTCAAATTCTGGCTCTGCCCTGGCCCGGAATCCAGCTTCATCCCGCCTCATCCTGTTTAACCCAGTTGAATCCAGTTTAATCCAGCTTAACCCCGCTGAATCCGAGGCCCAATCCTGCGTTACAGCCCCACTGGGGCTCAATCCTCTTCAATCCCTCCGACGGAAACCTCCCTGCATGTGTTTCCTACGATCTCTCCTGCCGTTGCATCTGACCAGGAGCTACAGTGGTGGCTTAGATTTGGTCGCCTCTTTCCCGTTTCGGCCCTGCAGTCGTTGCAGGATGATCCAGAGGACCCGAAGGGGGGGGGAGATTTTTCTTAGTCGTGGAACTGCGGGGCGCTGCTGCTGTCTCTCTTTGGGCCCCCGCTTGGATGGCACGGGAGCCCTGCCGCCGCGAGGCGCGCGGTCGGGGCTTCTGTTCCGCCCGCCGCGTGGCCCGCGGACCCTGCCACTGGAGGCTCGTGCTGTGGCGCGCGCGAGGTAGAGTCAGGGTTACGTCGGGCGTGTCCCCCTGCATAGGGGATCTTCGACGAAACATAGAAAACACCCCAAGTCATCCCAGCAAAGCAACCTGACAGCGATGCGTAGGAGCATCTCTGGAAGCATATTCCCCTCAAGATTCAGATGAGGATCCAGCAGTAGAATTCTGCTGTTCTCGCAGTGGTAGTCGCATTCGCGACGACAGTCGCAGTGGCAACGGCAGTCGCAGTCACAGCCTCAGCCTCAGCCTGCCTCAGCCTCAGCCTCAGCCTGCCTCAGCCTCAGCCCGCTCAGCCTCAGCCTCAGCCTGCTTCAGCCTCAGCAGTCTGCCTTCAGCCTCAGCCTCAGCCTCAGCCTCAGCCTCAGCCTCAGCCTCGGCCTCAGCCTCAGCCTGCCTCAGCCTCAGCCTGCCTCAGCCTCAGCCTCAGCCTCAGCCTGCCTCAGCCTCAGCCTCAGCCTCAGCCTCAGCCTCAGCCTGCTTCAGCCTCAGCCTCAGTCTGCCTTCAGCCTCGGCCTCAGCCTCAGCCTGCCTCAGCCTCAGCCTGCATCAGCCTCAGCCTCAGCCTCAGCCTGCCTCAGCTCAGCCTCAGCCTGCCTCAGCCTCAGCTCAGTCTGCCTTCAGCCTCGCCTCAGCCTCAGCCTCAGCCTGCAGCCTCAGCCTCAGCCTCAGCCTCAGCCTGCCTCAGCCTCAGCCTCAGCCTGCCTCAGCCTCAGCCTCAGCCTGCTTCAGCCTCAGCCTCAGTCTGCCTTCAGCCTCGGCCTCAGCCTCAGCCTCAGCCTGCATCAGCCTCAGCCTCAGCCTGCCTCAGCATCAGCCTGCCTCAGCCTCAGCCTCAGCCTGCCTCAGCCTCAGCCTCAGCCTGCTTCAGCCTCAGCCTCAGTCTGCCTTCAGCCTCGGCCTCAGCCTCAGCCTGCCTCAGCCTCAGCCTGCATCAGCCTCAGCCTCAGCCTCAGCCTGCCTCAGCATCAGCCTGCCTCAGCCTCAGCCTCAGCCTGCCTCAGCCTCAGCCTCAGCCTGCTTCAGCCTCAGCCTCAGTCTGCCTTCAGCCTCGGCCTCAGCCTCAGCCTGCCTCAGCCTCAGCCTGCCTCAGCCTCCTCAGCCTCAGCCTGCCTCAGCATCAGCCTGCCTCAGCCTCAGCCTCAGCCTGCCTCAGCCTCATCAGCCTCAGCCTCAGCCTCTCAGCCTCAGCCTCAGCCTGCCTCAGCCTCAGCCTCAGCCTGCTTCAGCCTCAGCCTCAGTCTGCCTTCAGCCTCGGCCTCAGCCTCAGCCTGCCTCACTCAGCCTGCCTCAGCCTCAGCTCAGCCTGCCTCAGCATTCAAAATGTGGCCCGGGAATGGAGTTCTGGGAACTCGAAGAACACGAAGTGGCCTACAGTTGGCTCCGGGCATTCAAAATCATGCCCAGGAGTGGAGTTCTGGGAAGTCGAAGACCACGAAGTGGCCTACAGTTGGCTCCGGGCATTCAAAATCATGCCTAGGAATGGGGTTCTGGGAACTCGAAGACCACGAAGTGGCATACAGTTGGCTCCGGGCATTCAAAATCATGCCCAGGAATGGAGTTCTGGGAACTCGAAGAACACGAAGAGGCATACAGTTGGCTCCAGGCATTCAAAATCATGCCCAGGAATGGAGTCCTGGGAACTCGAAGACCACGAAGTGCGTTACTGTTGGCCAAAAAAAGAGTCCCTGGATTCCCGCGGCACCCGTCCGGCATCTGCCCAGACCCCCCTGGGGAGTCATGATGCTTTCTTTTGAGCCCACTAGAAACCTATCAGTCTTCGCTGTTAGGTAACATACCCCAGAAAGGCCAAACAGTACTCCAAAAAAATAGCCCTCAGACTATGGTTTTATTATTTTTTGATTTTTTTGTGGGTCTTTTTGTGTTTCGTCGAAAATCCTCCTGGAGGGGGACAGGCCCGACTTAAAGACAGGGTGTCCAGGCTGCTGTCAGACTTCTGTGATCACATCTTGCTGCCGCCGGCTTTCTAGCTGTCGTTGATGCCCGAGTGGAGCTCGCGCAGCGGCATCCGTCGCGCAGCGTTGCACCGTGCAGCATCTCAGCGCCCCTTACCTCGATCGCGCTGAACTTCGGGCCCGGATGAAAAAGGGGGGGTCACAACGACCAGAGCTCGATGGTGCAAGTACTCGCAAAGGCCCGCAGGCACTCGAACGTCGGGCTCGCATCTGACCCCCCTTCGCTCGGCGCAAGGTTTTTCGGAGTGT